CACACACACACACACACACACACACACACATATATGTGTGTGTTGTTGTGTGTGTGTGTGTGTGCGTGTGGTGCGTGTATGTGTGTGCGTGTAATATGTATGTATATAATATATATATATATAATATATATATATTTATATATATATATATATATTATATATATATATATATTGTATATATATATATATATATATATATATATATATATATATATATATATAATATATATATATATATATATATATATGTGTGTGTGTGTGTGTGTGTGTGTGTGTGTGTGTGTGTGTGTGTGTGTGTGTGTGTATTGTATAAATATAGCATATATTTGAAAATGAGGAACTGAACACGCATTCGGTTTTGGCGTTATGCAAACGTCCACGTACTTGTCTGTTTATTGTGGGTTCGCTGTGAACTTGTCCGTCTTCCTGGGAGAAGGAGGCGTTCACACACTGGATTACACGCTGGATACATTATCAGGTCATAGCGAAGCCCTGGTAGTGGCCAGCCAGAGGCAGTTCTTGACCCAGTATCAGGGACTTTCTCCTTGACCTCCTTCGCGCGATGGGAGGGATAAGGAGAATCGAGCGCGGGGGCCACATTAGTTCTGGGATTCGCGCACCTCTCCTGGACCGCTCATTCGTATTCTGTATGATAACGGAGATTCTTTCTCTTGAGATGTACTAATGTTTTTTTCTCCCTTTGTTTGACAGAACTGACCCCGGCGCCATCCGCTACGACACCACAGGCCTTTAGCATGGCATCTCTGCCTCTGGTCGTCTCCAAGAAGGTTTAAAAGTGCCCATGGAAGTCAAGGGCAGTGTCAGTGCGAACACTTCTCAGCATTATTTAAATTCACCTCTTTTACAGTAAAGCCTTTCGTAAGTCGTGGAGAGCAAGAGGGAAAATTTGGTCGTTTTATTTGATCTTTCGTTTCTTTTCGTCTGAAAGACAGATAACTTTTTGATTGTATCAAATATCCACATTCCATGCTGACGGACATCAGTTTTATCACTTTTCACTGACATTTGTATCAACGTAATGATACTGATTCCATTTCCAATCTATCATAAAAGATCATCAACATCTAAACCATTCCTCATAATCTTTATAAAACCCGTCACTTATCTGAGCGACAAGCTATCATAATATATGATAATGATAATGATATATAAGATTTATCTTGTATATCAATATCAAAATATGAATTAAATTCACTTTTTTGCCCTACTATTACTGCAATAGCTAGTGCCTTTATGAACCTTGTATTATTTCTTGATAATCACTCGTCTACTAGTTTTGTGTTGCTAGTGTTAGTGTATTGTTTATTGTGGATGTAACCAACACATTCTTATAAGTGGTGTAATATAAAAGAAAGTTTTTAAAAGGGAAATCCTACTAGACTATTTTTTTCTCTATTACTGATTATGGACAGATGACAATACAATTGTCAAGTTGATTATTAAGGGTACACTGCTTTGTAGATCAACACTATCCTCTTTTTCGTTTTGCTTGTTTGTTCTTTAAAGATGTGCATACTTATGTAATGGCAGCGATATAACACATACTATGCATGCAAATTGTCACATATGATGGACTTTTGCAGCATATGTCAGTGTTAGAAAAAAACGTTCATCGGAAGGTTTTACCATGTGTGTGACTCATACATGTTACAGCCAACACAAACGTTAACGAACGCACCATTTAATGTGATATATTGTATTTGTCTACTTGTGTGTGTATGTGTTCAGTGAAGGGGCTTTTCGAATGTGGCGCGGTTGACATTTCGTCCAGGCTGAGTTATATGATAAAACAACTAAATTGATTTCATCTCTACAAATGAACGAAACTCAGCGCGGCAACGAATGATACCGAAACAAGCACACGACCCCGTCGCTGTGGGTGCGATGCAGACGCCCCTCCTGGTGAGGCGGCGGACCGTGGCGCCGCGGCGGTCTCTCAGACCTGTGGGCGAGGATGCTGTGGAATAAATTAATGTGAACCGTTTCGCTTTTCTTTAGTGGGATGCCTGCTTACTCGGAAAGACAGATATCTTAATGATATCAATGATAATGATAACAGTAATAACAATTCACACAATGATAACAACAAACAGCCAAAATATATGTACATATATAGATACACGTATATATATATTAATACATATATGTATATGTATGTATGCAAATATTACTCTCTCTCTCTCTCTCTCTCTCTCTCTCTCTCTCTCTCTCTCTCTCTCTCTATATATATATATATATATATTATATATATATATATATATATTATATATATATATATATATTATTATGATATATACATACATACATAACATATATATATAAATATATATATATATATATATATATATATATATATATATATATATATATAATATACATGTATATATACATACATACATACATACATATATATGTATAAATATATATATATATATATATTATATAATATATATATATATATATATATATATATATATATATATATATATATATAATATATATATATATATATATATATATATATATATATATATATATAGATAGAGAGAGAGAGAGAGAGAGAGAGAGAGAGAGAGAGATATTGTATATATATATATTGTATATATATATATTATATATATAATATTATATATATATATATATATATATATATATATATATATATATATATATATATATATATATATATATATATATACATATACATACATACACACAACATATATATCTAAATATATATATATATATATATATATATATATATATATATATATATATAAATATATATATAATTATAATATATATATATATATATATATATATATATATATATATTATATATATATAAAATGTATATTATATATTTATTATAATGTGTATATAGACATATATATTATATATATAATATATATACATATATAATATATATATAAAAATATATATATTATATATATATATATATATATTATAATATATAT